TCCGGACCAGCAGCCCCTGCAGAGAAAGCAGAATTTCCGTGCAGTCTGGGTAAAGGGTCCCAAGCCTTGGGGGGGGGGGGGGGGATAGGGATTGTTAAGGCCAAATCCTCTGAGCTGTGTGACACAGTCAGCATGGGGATGCCCTGTGGCATGAGGCCTCCTGAGCCATGTGACTGCTGCTATGGGTTGTGTGAGCAGTCAGCATCCTCCCCCTTGGCTATCTGAGTGTTTTGGGGTCACTGAAAGAGCAGAGCTGTTAGGCATTTGGCCCAGCATTTGGCACAGCAGCTCTGAAGATACTGCTAAGTCTTGCCAAGACCCTGTTTCTCCATCATGCTAACGTGAGGAACCCCAGCACGGATCACCAGTGACAGAAGAACGTCCTGATGATTTCAGTGTGGACTTCCAGAGTTCCTCGTAGTCTGTGGGAAGCATGGGCCCCAGGGGCATTTCTGCTAAACATGAGCTGTCCTACACTGTCTCGCCCCTCAGGATGTCAGCGTGTGGATGGCCAGGTACCGCCAGCTCTGCCGTGAGAGCTTTGTTGGCCTAGTCAGGGGTTACCTTGCCCATGTCTACCTGAAGGAGGCAGAGGAACCACTGATGCAGCTCCAGGACAGTCTTGGCTGCCCCAAGGTTGGCAGTGCACTGACCAGGCTGAAAGCACTAAGGAAGCAGGTAGGGTGCCTACTGAGAGATGGGCCTTGGAGCTGGCAGCTTCTGCCATTCATATATTAGTATGTGGAGGGAGTGGGGGCTGTCCAGGTTGTAAGAGAGAGGGAGAAGAGAGCATGAGGGTAGGCATGCATGTGTCTGGTACCGTCCCACAGAGGCTCCAGTGCTGGAGGGTGCAGTGGCACCAGTGCTGGGAAAGACAGCAGCAGCTGGCTCTGCTGCTTGGCAAGAGACTGGAGCAGTTGGGTGAGGAGGAGAAGCTGCTGGTGATCAAGCGCCTGCCATCATGGCCTGGATGGTAACAGCTACTTGCATGGGGGCAGGGAGGGGCTCAGTGCGCTGGGTTGTGACCTTGGGGAACTGAGTGGCTTTGGGCCTTGGGATTTCTTCTGGGGTGCCCTCTTACATTCCCTTCATGTCATGTCTCCTCATGCCTAGGGAACCCTCCTGTTACAGACTCCCTTTTCCTCAGCCTCGCAGCAAGACCCACCTATGCATCAATGGGGAGCTCTCCATGGGGGAGCCATCATCTCCCAGCAGGCTTTTGCTTTGCAGCCCCTACCACAGCCCCTGAGAGGTTGGGGGGAACAGGCTACTTGGACAATGCATTGGCCTGATGTCGTCCACCACAGATTCCCTATACCCAGTCTCCCTCCCCTCCTGACAGCCCTGGGGATTTGTCCTTCTGCTTCAGGCCAAAGCTGTTAAGGCCTCCCAGAAGGATGAAGGCTCGTTTCCAGATGGCAGCAAAAATGCCAGCACTGGTGCCCTTGGGACAGGTAAGCCCCCATCTGCCAGTGCTCCCCATGCTAGTGTGGACCTCACCTGGAGGGCCAGGACTAACAGGTGGTACCCTTCAGAGGCTCCCGGCCCTCAGGAGTGCCTGGGACCATTGAGGGTTGGGACCCTCTCTTCTTGGGCCCAGGACTCTGCTTGCATTTGACTGTCCCCTCTGGAGCAGATTCATTTCTGGGGCAATCTTAGGTGCATATCAGAGCTCCCCCAGGTATGGGCATGGCCCTAGGGCATGGGGCACTGAGGGAGCAGATGCTGCTGCCCACACCAGATGGGACTAGTGAGCGGCGTCATCGCTCCTTCAGCCTTCTCTGTTCCAGACAGACTTCCCTGGCCCTCGAGACACAGCCCTCTGGGTGCTGAGCAAAGGGGCCGAGGAGTCTGTCTCCCCTGGGTTGGCAATGAGGGGCTGTGTTCAATGGCAGGAAGTGAGCAGTGCCCTGGCTGTGCGGGGTCTCCGCCCATCTGTCCGAGGAGAAACGATGCCCCCGAAACTGTGGAACGTCCAGGCTGTGGGGAAAGGAGGCGACTTGCTGAAGCAGGGCCCAGAGATGCTGAAGCCACTGGTGATCACACCAAGGCTGCTGGAGATGAACGTCAACACCTACCTGCTGCCAGAGCATCAGGTGAGGTAAGCAGAGGCCAGGGGGTGCGGGATCTCCACTCTCCCCTCCCTGTGCAGGGAACCTGCCTCTGAGTGGGCCAAGGCCACCCCTTCCACATCCCTCCGCAGAGACATCCACCTTCCAAGGGCCTAGGGCTACAGCCTCCCATTCTCGCCTCCAAAGTCTCCCACTTGCATGGGAACTGGGTGTGGCATGAAGCGAATGGCTGTATTTGGGCAGGGTCTTGTTTGGCTTAGACAAGAGGTGTCCAACCCCTAGCCTGTAGGCCAGATTCGCCCACAGCTGCATGTCATCCGGCCCATGGGTAGGGGTGACCACCTTTTAAAAATGGAAAGGTGGGACACAACTTCCTCGCCTCCCCTGGGTGGCATGGCTGGAGCTGAGCTGAGCCAAGCCTTTGAGGGTAGGGGAGGATGCAGGGTGCCTGCTGTGAGCTCAGGACTCCCTGCCCTGCTGCCCTCTCCCTGGGAGCCCCATACTACCATGGCAAGGTGCCCCCTGCCCTCCTGGCAGCAGCAGGGGGCACAACTCTGCAACGCCACCCCACTGCTGCCAAGCAGGTAGACAGCACCTCAGCATGGCCAGCACAGGGCTCCTGGCAGCAGCAGCACTGAGCCTCTCTGCCCTTCTGCACCAGGTCCTGCCTGCTGGGCTCTGGAGGCCCCAAGGGGAGAGCAGCAGGGTGCGGAGCCTCAAGCCCACAGCAGGCAGCCTGCACCTGCCCCCACCCTGTGCACAGATCTGGGGGTACATGCCCCCACATACCGGGTCCCTGGGAGTGCATGCACTGGTGGGGAGCCAGCTCCTCCCTGCACCTGGATGAGCTGCCTGTGGCTCTGTCCTGCTCCCTGAACAGGCCCCACAGCCGTGCCTTCCCACCCCAGCCGGGCAGTGCCCCCAGCCCTAGCTGCCAACCCTGCCCCACTCCCTCCCTCACCACGGGGGCCTCAATCTGCTCCCCACAGCCACCCTGCTCTATGCCCCCTCCCCACATAGACTTACCTGGAGGGAGCTGCTCTCCACACTGCCTGGCTGTATCCCCGGCCATGTGCACATGGCACCCCCTGCATCCCATTCCCTCCAGCCTCAAGTAGCCCCTTGCCAGCCAGCAAGGGGAAACCTGTCATTTCCTGTGTTTTTTTTTGAAGTGAACAGAAAACCCAGATCCCTGAACACAATCCTGGGAATCTGGGACAAATGCTGTCCTGGAGTCATTCAGCCTGGGACTGAGACTTGATGTTCCCATTTCAGGACTGTCACGCTGAATTAGGGACGGGTGGGTACCCTATGCACAGGGCTCTCCACAGCTCTGCAAATTTTGTGACGGGAGAGTGGTAGCCACCCTGAAGTGTACCCCGTTAGCCACCACTCCCCAGATGTCAAATTTCTGGACCCATGAAGAGCTCTGGGCCCTGTGCTGCATCAGGTGCCCAATACCAGTGTGGAGGGACGGGCTGGGGTGTTGCTGCATCCCAGGGCCCAATCCTGAGGTGGATAGGGGCTGAGAGGGGGCAATGTAAGGCCCCCTGGAGTCCAATCCTAGTCCACAGGTGGCTCTGGGTCCAATCCCAGTGAGAGGGGAAGATGTCAGGCCCCACAGTTCAATCCCGGTTCACGAGGCTGGGAGGAGATGGCACTGGGCTGTCAGGGTCCAATACCAGTGGCAGGGGCAATGCCAGACCCCCAGGGTTCAGTTCCCATGTGCAGGGGTGGGAGGCCCCCCAGCCCACAGACCAGCCAGGCACCGCTCATCTGGCCAGTGGGGCCAAAAGATTTAGCCCCTTTGGCTGCAATATGAATCATGAGCTTGGAGCTTTTTGTGCCCTGACTCCTGGGAGTCTTCAGTCTGCTCCCAGCACAGGCCCTATTCTGATCTTGTCTTGCAGTGGAAGGACTGAGCCCATCCCAAGTTTGGACACTTCCAGAGCTGGGCCCTCCACATCCTCACTGATGAGGTTCCTTTCCATCCGACGAGGAGCGGCCCTAATTGGTTTCCAGCCACTCAGAGAAGCCAGGAGAACCCAGGGATGGTTCCAGCAGGATGGCTCCAGGCCCCCCGGGCATGTTGCAGGCTCCAGGACACAGTCAGTCACTGACTGCTCCAGGAAATCCCTTGCTGAGGGAAGAAAGTTCATGGCGGATCACAGCCCGGAGTGAAGGAACAGCCTCTCCCAGACAACGTGGACACTAACGGCAGCCAGTCACATCCCTCCTTTGCCTGCATGTTAGGAATATTCAGTCTCCCTCTAGGTGCTGCTAGGACAACTTTTCTGCATATCAGATCCCTAATATGGGACCCACTTAAGGAAGGAATAGCAGTGGGCAAGAAGCTAGAGGTCCCATGGTCTAAATTACCTTGGCAGAACCACATTTTCCTGGCTTGTCGTTTGTCCTATACATGACAAATGTGGCATATAGGCGCTGCTCTTTGGGTAAGCATGGAGGTGCAGGTGGCTGTGGTGCTGAGTTCAGAGCTGCTCTGAAATAATGGATGAATCCTGTATAGTGAGCTGACTAGAAGATAAATATATTGAACTCATTGGTTAGGGCCCTGCCTGTTAAAACAAGCAAGAAAGGTAAAAGTGACTAAAGATAAGCTACTTCTCCTTAAACACTCAAGGTTTAAGAGATGACAGTAAGGTTCAGAAAGACCCAGGCACATGCAAAATCCAAAGTATTGCAGTCAGGTGCACATCCTCTTGAGAGTCCTATGTGTTCAGAGGTACCATACTGAGATGCAGGAGCCCACTGGACATGTGTGAAGAAGACTGGCCTGCCTATGCTACTGTCCACAGGCATCAAGCCTTGAAGTGAATAGACATGTGGGAGAAACAGCTGGTGATTTAAAAAAAAAGATCTTTTCCTCTACATTATTTGTTTTCACTGTCCCAATAAACTACGCTGTGGCTAAAGAAGGCTGTGTGGTTGCCCCATACTACTGGTCACAGGCTCCCAAAGAGATAAGCCACAGGTGTCAAACTCACTTGGGTCCATTGAAAGTTATAATCCAGACCTTGTCTAAAGATGGGAGAATTTGGGGATTTCTCCTCGGGAGAGAGAAAAGCAGGAGACGTAGGCCCTCAGGGGAGCACTCAGCCCAGGAAGGTTTCCAGAGATCTGATGGTGATTGTACCCTGGGGGGGATAGTTTCTAGTGAGCCGGCATTGCTAGGCAGTGGGGGGTAACACCTTCTCTTGCCTTCAGTGCTGGAAGCCCCCTCCCCAGGGCAGCATCAGGCTGGGGAATGCTGCAGAAGTTGCTGAACAGGAGAATTGAGAGGCAGCTAAAGATCAGGGGGGCAGGGAGGGTGCACAGAGCACAGCGAGGCCTCAAAGAGGCACCAAACTCCATGTGTGCCCTACGCTCAGAGTCCTGGGCTCACAGACCTCGCGCTGCCATTCCCGTGGAAGAGGCTGCTCTGAAGAGGAGCTGTTCTCTCCGTTTCGAGCTGTGGTGAGTGTCTTGTTCTGAGTGTCCCCAGATTGCAAAGCTCTTTTACTCTCCCGGCCACAGCTGCTATTGAGCTGCCCCCCCCCTCCTGCAGCTTCTCTGGGTGGCACTGCACAGGAGAAAATTAGGATGTGATGGGGCAAGAGAGACAGGAGGGTTGTCAGGATCACAGATTTCTGTTCTCATCAACAGTATTTCCTCCTTCCCTCCCCGATGCACAGGAAGGGGAATACTGGCTGCAGCATCAAAGCCAGTCACCTGTAGATTTCCTTGGAGCAAACAGAGAAGGAAGGCACTCGATGGACTGACCTCTGCACGCCGCGAGGGGGGAGGAGAGCTCCCAGCCCCCGGGAGGGAGAAGGAGGTGGTGATGCTCTGGCCAGGGGTTCCCAAACAGCAATGCATGAGCTTGCCGGAGTAGCCCCCTGGAAAAAGTACAAGTCCCTGAAAGGCCTCTTGTGCTGCAAATTGATGATGTGAGACGTCAAGAAAACACAAAGCTCCAGACAAGCTCATCCCCAGACCAGCAGGTGATCTGAGGGAAAATGTCTGAGGGGACCATCAGCCCCACATTTTTCATGCTAACGCAGCCTGTCCTGCCAACCCCAGGGAGGTGCCAACTATCTCGGATCCCTGGGGCACCCCCACACACAGTATAGGCAGTATGAGACATCGATAGAGACAGGGCTGTCAACTGGCACCTGATTGTAATTGGACTTGTGGCATGCTATCCTCCCTGGCCTTAGTAGTAAGTTTGCCTAGTTTATGCTACTTGAGTCATGGCTAAGCAAATAAAGTCTGCACATGCCCGTAAGGGTGATATTAAGAAGGCTCTAGGAGAATTTCAATGACGGCTACTGCAGTCACAGACAGCCCTTGCAGTCCAAGGGAGCCAAGATTTTCCCCTTAATCTCCAGAGTTTTCTCTCTCTCCTCAGAGAGTTTGCTCTTTTCAGTAGGGAAGGCAATACGGTACCCTCTTGCTGCAATCGGCACCCAATTGTAACTATACTTGTGGCGTACTTCGTATACTGCACGTGTACTTCATGTGTGACGTGTGCCGGTGGACCAAGCCACTGTATGTGATGGGCAAGCTACTAGCTAAGTTTGAATGAGAAATTGCCTTCATTAAATGATGAAAAGATGCAGTGCCTAGGATGCCCCCTCAATATAGAGGTGTGGGTATGACCCAAATATTAGCTTGGCCCCTCAATCTTCCAGCACCACCAGGAGTAGGAGGCTGTAAGGGATCCAAACACCCCTAGCAGGCTGCATCGTGGACACTGCTGTGGCCTTATTTAAGGCACTTCATGCTTGTATGCAGGCCTCTAAAGTCCAAGCAAGCACTGCACGGGTTGTGTGTGTGCTGTGAGTTGTATTCTGTATGTGGCTTTATGTAACTTTTAGTTAAGTGGGTCACTCAGGTGCCCTTTTCACCCCATAGAAAGACATGGGGTGCCATGGAAATTCATGGCAGGAGGTGTCTGAAGAAGCCAGACTGTCGCCAGTGCGTCCTTGCTGGAACCCCCAGTGGACACCAAGAGGGCCTTGCTGACTCACGGGCACCAAAACTGGAGACTTAATCATGTTGGGATTCACGTTGCCTTGTTTTCTTGCATATAACTGAGTTCCTTGGTCAAATACCCCATAGAAAGAAGATCCTCTTAAGTTGGAGGGTTTCCCCTTTTTATCTTACAACAATGGGGCCTGATCCTACTTTACCTATTAGGCATTTAAGTGTGATCCTATTTCATCCTGTAACTTCATGAAACCATCCTAACTGTGTTCATAACTGGGGTAACTGATGGGAAAACACTTATTGACTGGGTTAATCTTCACTGGGACTGGGAGGTTTTACTTCCATTCCCAGTTTAAGGTATAAGAGACAGTGAAGGACATTTCTGCCCCAAAGCAAGTCTGCCAAGTTCTTTGCATGCTCTTAGTTGGGCGGTTGGCAGGGTGTGGAGGGGAAGAAACAGCACTATGGAAGAGATGCAGCCTTCAAACAGTCTGAATAGCACTTGGGCTGGGGCAGCATGAGGGCAGAAAGGAGCAGTGAGCAGGGAAACCATTGCTGGTGCAGCAGGGCTGTGCACCTTGGAGATCTGTGTTGGAGGTGCATTGTGTCCTAGGCTCACAAAACAGAATCCCAAGCCTATTTTGTATCTGGGGGCATGAAATTTTCCTCCTGCTTGAAGAGAAGCAGCGGGTGGCCGGTACATGTGCTAGCCAAAAAATAACAAATGAGAGATCCTGTCATTTGCCCTCTGTGGGAAGTGAAGTGGTGTTAAAGTTCAAATGTGCTGAGCAGCTGCACCTTAAAGGTTAGCAGGGCCGTGCGAAATGGCACCGTTCCATTTCGACTTGAGTTTCGAGGTTTCGACAGAACAGCATTTCATTCCGAATTTCATTTCGATTCAAAACTGCTGTGTCAAAACAGTGAGGCTGTTTCACCATTTCGCCCATTTGCTATAATGGGGAATTTCAAACCAGCCTCTCTCATCCACCAGGCAGATGGGGGCCCACAATCCCCAGGACAGCTGCAGGGGCTGTGCCAGTCCTCCCAGGGCTCCAGGCCCCCAATCTGTCTGCCAGATGAGGGAGGGAAGCCGGGTGCTGCCACCTGAAATCAGGGAGCGGGGGAAGGGAACTAAGCCGGATCACTCAGTTCCCCTCCCCAGTGCTACAATCGGGCTGGGGAAAGGAACTCGGCCTAGCTGGCCTGAGTTTCCATCCTCAGCCCAATCCTAGGGCTTGGGAGGGGAACTGAGTGATTGGGCTCAATTCCTTTCCCCAGCCCGATCGCAGCACTGGGGAGGGGAACTGAGGCCGGGCTCAGTTCCCTTGCCCTTCACTGTGATCGGCTTCCTGCAGCCTGGCCACAGGAGGCTGGGAGAGCCTGGGCTGTGGCTGGGAGCACATCCCCGGTTCTTCCCTGGCTCCCACCTCCTGGCTGCTGGCTGCTTTGAAACTCAAAATGTTATGAAACTTTCAAAATGCTTCGACTAGCATTGCTTTGTTTCAAGGCTGTTTTGAAGCCCTTCGTTTCAATTCAATTTCACTGTTTCGAGCTCAAAATGAGTCGAAACAGTGTCGAATCAAAACAGCCAGTGAAATTTCGCACAGCCCTAACGGTTAGTATCATTTCTTGCCTGCACAGCTCTGACCTGCCACTAGAGGGCTGGTGAGCAGGGGGTGGCTAGGAGCTAGGACACCTGGGCTTATCCCAGGTGGGAGTGGGAGTGGGCGTGGGAGCCCTGGAGCCGTGAATCCTGGGATGCCAGATGACTGAAAATTCCTAATTTTACCTCTGTGAAGCGGACTGAAGTTACCCTAACACAAGTTTAGGTAGCAGGGCCCAGAGTTAATCCTCACCCAAAGAGGTGTAACTTTGAGATGCTTAGAGCACAGTTAGCGTGAGATAATGAGCTTTAGGGCATGGATGCTCATCTTTTAAGTGTTCTCAATATAGTCTGAGGGCACATCTACATGTGGCTGTATGGTGATGTTGCTACGGCATCATGCTTTATTACTTATTACCGCTATGGTGACATAGCTGGCAATCACATGTATACACATGTGAGCACTACATCACCAGAGCACGCCGTACAGCAATGTGTAGATGTGCCCTGAGTGTAACATATTACTTCACCCTGACTTTCTGACAAATGCTGCTTTTGGAACTAAATTGGGGAGGCATAGCAGCTCTCAGACGGCCTTTTCAGTAACACATTGACCAGGAGGTGGTGCTCTTGAGCAGAAACAAAGTTAATTGAATCCCCTAACACTTACTGAAGAATTGCTACCCTAGGGGTGGATCTAAAGGGGCATGCAGTAGTACACTTCCACCCCACTTTGATTCCTGCTCCGCCCAAACTTTAAAACCAACTGCTAGGAGAGAAATCTGCATTTCTATTCAGGCAGCAGAGAGAGAGTGAATTAACTTCACGGATTATTGTCATCTCGCTAGTTCTTGGAAATCTCTCTCCACTCCACACATGTTACCCACTCTCCTTTTTACTGGTCTTGATGATCCACTATCAAATCATCCTTTCTTCTGCAGTTTTGCTGTCTGCTGGCCATTCCTGGTAATGCCTCTCTCTTATTTCACAGCCCTGCAGACTGTTTGCAGCTTGTATCTAAAAACCTGAATTTAGGTGTGGTCATATTAAGTTAGGTATAGAAATGACTGACAATGATGTGTCGGAAATACTGTCAAGATGCTATAGTCTAGAAAGCTAGATTTTGTTTTATGAATCTGAATAAGAGACATACATATAAGTATAATGACTACAGAACTAATGATAGTATCTTTTGACTATTTTGACTTTTTTGCCTAGTTGTGTTTTTTTTTACTTTATATATAATCTAGCAAATTAGTGCACATTCTAGTTGTAGTATTTGGATAGTCCTAGCCCCCTATAATATTAGTAAAGCATCTAGTATCGCCTCAACTG